CAACTCCTCCTTTAATACCCCTCATCTCCTTTCCAATCCACGCAATTCATCAAGTAGCTTAACAATGTTGGTTTCCCCTCTCCAATAACTTTCTGACTCTGCATCTTCCTATCATTCTTCATTGTTCAAATTTTACTATCAACCTATTATTTGGTATTTTCAGCACCAAATAATTTGTATGTTGATTAACTATCTCCTTAAAGCCGTTATGCTGTAGCTATGTGCTTTTGAACCCGAACGGATTTGGACCTTGCTCTACTATTCTTATCCGATACCTATCCTAGTGATATGTACAATCATCTGAGAATGTTTGTCCTATTCAAAAAATTAAGATTCCATTTATATAGGAGGCATAGCTTTATTTATCAATGTGAATTATGTTTGTGATAAGGAAAGATCAGAAGGTTTGTTTTCATTGATGAACTCTGGGAGCCTTGAAGACGCCATAGATGTGTCTGCTTGTGTATTCATGCGATTGTTCCAAATTGAAGCCCCGTACTATCACCATGGACATGATCATTTACTCATTGCCTACACTATTGGATCTGCAACATCAGTTCCCAATTATCAGCACTGAATTTTAATTTGCGAGAAACGGACTGACATAATGTAATTGTACATTTTTCGGCTATCCGACATCACCAGGGCCGCACCTTTGGATTCAAAGTTTTTCCATTCCATAAAATAATTGCCCTGTATACTTCGAACTATACTATTTGAAACTTGCTCCAGTTTTGCTTCCTCGATGAGTAGCTATGTAGCCTCCACGTTTTTATAAATGTTATTTCATGTTAAATATTTCATAGCAACATAAGGGTAAGTGTGAGATTTTAAAAGAATAAAATTTGCCTTTTAAAATAATCTTTTATCGATAAAAAAGAGATAATTTTAGAGACTTCACTTCAGGTTTGGCTTTGCCAAACTAACCTCCCTTACAGTTTTGCAATATTATACTTACCTACCTTGTTATAAATTTTTTGTAACAATTCTTTTGCCTATTTGTTGTTAATTTTAAAAAATTGTGGTATGACTAATTCACCTTTTCTAAGATACTCATATTTATTAATTCCGCAAACATCTTTTGTCTAAAGTTCCTTTAGAATATTGCCAATAATTCCGAGGTTTGTATAGTTCAGTATTTTTTATTTTTCCTGGTTTTTGTATTTTTTTTCCTTTTATATTTCTTTCTAATTTTACCATAATTCTGATTTGTGATATATCCTAAGAGCTTCTTATATTAAGAGTGATGTAGGATGAGTAAACAAGAAAACAATTAGGTGAATAGAAAGACTATTTCACGAATTGTCTATCAGAGAAAGCGTGCTCACGGCGAAGCATGAACAGAAAAGAAACAAGTGTTTACTGTTTACTGAGAGAACTTTAAGTAGAGAGAATTGTTATTCGCTTCTGGATGATTTACAATGGGTTCTAACAGGCTATTTATAGGCCACTTCTAATACTAGAATCTTCTCATTCTTGATATCAAATGCAATAAAAGATAAGATCCAAAAAATCCTTCCAACCAAAATTATTGCAATATCAATCAAGAAGGAATCTCTCCGCATCTCAATTGGAAATTCTCTAAATCATTGGATATGGTTCTCTTCTTGATTTAATTGATTCTCTACCTGATTTTCTGCATCAATTCTCTCCTTCTCAGGAAAAGAACCCGTCCTCAAGTTAACTGCCTCTTCCGGATAGAGTGGCTCCTTAGATGGATGGAAAAGTCTTGGAAATTTTCAGGGCATCCAGCAAATGTTGTTGTGTGTAAATAGTCCTTGTCCTATATGTCGTGTGAGCTATTCTGGCCATTTTTTGACAAAACTTCTTCAGGACAACTTACTCGTCTAGTGATCCCGAGCCTACCCATATAAATTACATCAAATTCTGACAACTTCTATTTTTCCGGCGTGAACAGTGCACTTTTCCGGCATGAGCAGTGATTTCCAGAAAAGTTTTGTTTTCTGGTGGTGTTTTAGAACTTATTTTGTAGTGTGGAATTCGGCTTAGTCTCACTATTTTCAAATTTTTCCGACGACCTTTCGGTCAACTTCTGTTTATCAGCAACCACTTGGTTTTGTTGCTCAGGGGAGTCTAGTGGCCTTATATGTCGAATGATCAGCTTGCAGATCTTTTCACCGAGTCCCTCACTGGTCCTCGTACTAGTTACATATGTAACAAACTCGGTATATATGATTTGTATGCACCGGCTTGAGGGGGGAGTGTTAGATAGTTATGTGTAAATAGTTTTTGTCCTATATGTAGTAGAAGTAGAATATGTCCTAGTCCCATACGTAGTAGGAGTAGAATATGTCCTAGTCCCATATGTAGTAAGAGTAAAATATGTTTATATGTAGGGTTCATTGTATCATTGTTAAAAAAAAATAGATTTTTCTCTCGTGCATTCTCACAGCTGCGTCCGCAGTAATCCAAGCACAATGTCCATGGTTAAATCCTCCCAAACATGCTCTGAGACTGACAAAGGAATGAAAAGGCTAGTATTTTGAGTTTGACCCGTTGCAGTTAGACATGTATAACATCTTTTCACCAATTTACGGATATCTCGTTTCAATTGAGGGCAATAATATCTTTCTTCTACTGCAACAATTGTTTTGTCTCTTCCCAGGTTTCTAGCTAAGCCTTTGCCATGTAAATCTTTGATAACCTTCTCACGCAGGGAAGTACGAGGAAGGCAGAGCTTGTTACCTTTCATACAGAACCGTTCATAAATGTGGAAATCATCAACAACTCGCTTAAGTTGGCATTTTTCCTAGATTCCTCCAAGATCCTCGTCATTCTCGTAATTATCTTTAAAACAATCAAAGCCAACGATCTCAAACCTGAGCGTTGTCATCAATGCCACTCGTTGGCTTTAAAGCATCGGCAACTCTGTTATACTCCTGACTTGTCAAAGTCGATAAGGGAACTTCTCTAGAAAAGTGAGCCATTTGGCACACGTCTTGACTAATTATTTTCTAGCTGCCAAGGTATTTTAAAGCCTAATAATCAGTATAGAGAACAAACTCTTTACCGATAAGATAATGTTCCCAGTGCTCTAGAGCACGACTAACCGCATAAAACTCCTTGTCTTAAGTAGACCACTTCTGTCATGCATCACTCAATTTCTCACTGAAAAGAGCTACTGGTCGCTTTTCCTGTGATAACACTGCTCCAATGCCTACTCCACTTGTATCACACTTCACTTCGAAAACTTTGTCAAAACTCGGCAAAGCTAAAATTGAAGGGGTAGTCAGCTTCTCCTTGATAATATTAAAACTTCTATCTGCATCTTCATTCCACTTTCCTTTCTTCAAGAGATCAGTAATGGGAGCCATGATCTTACTGGAATGATGAATAAATCAAAGCCATGATCTTACTGGAATGATGAATAAATCGACTATGGAAGGTCACTAACCCGTGAAAACTACGTAGTTCACTTACTGTTTTGGGGACTGGCCACTCTTAATAGCATACACCTTTTCTTCATCCACTCGAATTTCAACTGCACTGGTAATGTATCCTAAGAACAGTAACTTTGAGGTCATAAAGTTGCACTTCTTAAGGTTGATATAGAGCTTGTTTTCCTGTAAGACCACCAGTACCTCCCTTAGGTGTGAGATGTGATCTTCCTGAGTTCGAGTGTAAATTAGGATATCATCAAAGTATACTACAACAAACTTTCCAATAAATGGTTGTAGGACCTAGTTTTTAAGTCGCATAAAAGTTCTTGGAGCATTAGTTAAGCCAAAAGGCATGACTAACCACTCATACAATCCATCACTCGTCTTAAAAGCTGTCTTCCTGTCATCTCCTGGTCGAACCCTAAACTGTTGGTACCTTCTGTGTAGATCAATCTTTGAAAATAACACTGATCCATCTTACTGGACCATGTCGTCCAATCGAGGAATTGGAAACTAATACCCTGCAGTGATCTTCTTAATTGCCATACTGTCTACGCACATTCTCCAACTTCCTTCTTTCTTCAGTGTAAGTAAGGCTGGTACTGCACAAGGGCTCATGCTCTCTCGTATATACCCTTTCTTTACTAACTCTTCAACTTGGCTTCTTAAAATCTAATTCTCCTTAGGACTCATTCGGTAGTGTGGTTGGTTTGGTAAATTTGCCCCGGTATGAGATCAATGTTGTGCTGACTATCTCGTATAGTGTGGCAACTCCGGGGGCAGCTCTTTGGGCATAACGTCCTTGAACTCCTCTAACAACAGCCTCAAATATTCGGGAATTGGTTTCTCCGGTAGATCCTTTGCTGTATGAGAACAATGTGGTGCTTAATCAAAATATTTTTCAAAAGTCGTGAATGGACCTTATGATTTTGAAGGTTGGAAAGCATCAAAACATTGAGGGATTCATAGTCAATGTTCCCCGCCATTGTTGTTATTTTAGAGGAATCATTTTCCCGAAAAATGTTTGCAAATTTAACTATACAAATGAGTATATTAGAAATGGTTAGTCATGTCACAATTTTTTGAAAATTAACAATAAAAAAATTGTTATAAAGAAATTAAAATAAGGGAGGTAAGAGTAATATTGTAAACCACAAGGGAGGTTAATGTTACAAGCCAAACTTGAGGGGAGGTTTCGAAAATCTAAGTTGCTCGGACACAAGTGGTGCGGATCCTTCGAAATGTAAATTCTAAGATTCGGGGATACGAATCTTAGTACGGATACGGGTGCGGGGATCCGGCTAAAAATAATTAAAATAAAAAATAAAAAATAAATATATCTCTAAATTATGAGAAATTTTGTGGATACTTACGTATAGCTTGTAAAGTGTGGATTACTTTTTTATTCTCAACTTGTAGATAAGTAGAATCTCTTAGATAAGATATGCGATTTTCTTCAAATTTACCCTAGTTTTGGTTCTGATTTCGAGAATCAAATTGTATCTCGTCTCGAATTTTTCCTTCCGTCGTGGTCAAAGTACCCAAAATTGTTTGACCAAATTCGGTGCGGATCCCATACCCNAAAAAAAGAGTAAGAAATATACTTCTTATTTCAAAATTGTGAAGTTCTAACTGTAACTCAAATCATTCCGGTGACTTTGGAAGGTTTCAAAACAAAATGAACCAAAAAAAAAAAGTTCGTATGCCATGTTTCACATTTGGAGCTTCTGTTGGTGAAGAGGTACTTTTACTTTACCGAAGATGTAGTTTATCAGTAATATAAATTATGTCGGCCAGCCTGTTATCTTGAAGATTGTTCACCTTTCCACGAGCATTTCTGGCTAGTTCATCATTTCTTATTATTTCTGGCAAATATGAAATTTGCATCTTTTTATCAGTTATTTCAATAAGCCTCATACTGTTTTTTTTTTTCCTTGTGGTTCTTGTGATCATAAGCAAGTTCTCTTTGGTCATTCAGTTTTTTATACTCTGCCGAATGGTTGCTAACCACTGTTTTATTGCATTTCTTTCTCAGCATTATGCAGGTGTAACTTGTTTGACTCTATTGAAGTCATCCTTACCTGGTGGGTGTGACTACCTATTTACTGGGAGCAGAGATGGCACATTAAAGAGATGGGCATTGGCTGAAGATGGTGCCGCCTGTTGTGCTACATTTGAGTCCCATGTTTATTGGGTACAGTCCAAATTCGTTTTCCTCGCTAGTTCTTGTGTTGTACTAGCTATTTGACTCCTGCAGCACTAGCAGCAGTTTAATGACATCTACTGGATAAAATCGTATCCATCATATGGTACATATAAATCAGTTGACTTTGACCACGCTGCACCAGATAGTTGCTTTCATTCTTTTTCATTTTTTATTTTTCCTCTTTCTCAAATAATTGGCCACCAAATATTATTTTCAAGCACTCTATGCAGTGGCCAATCTTGGTGTGGAATTCAGTTTGTTAGATGAAAACCTCTTGTCCCCTTGGATATGCCTGGATGTGCTATTGACCTGTCTTTCTGATGCTAATATTTGGTTGCGTATAGGTTGTTATTTTGTTACTTATGCTGATTTGGCAGTTGTTTTTTGATTCATAAATTCTGCAGGTAAATGATGCTGTTCTTACGGGCAATAACACATTGGTTTCATGCTCCTCAGACACCACTGTCAAGGTATTTACAGTCATTTCTGAATATAATATCCCTATTTGCTACAGTTTTTGATACACATTTGTATACCTTTTCATTAAGGTGCTTATTTTTTTGGAAATTTCTGTTGGATATCAGGTATGGAATGGCTTATCTGAGGGATCTTGTATCAGGACACTTCGTCGGCACTCTGATTATGTCACTTGCCTTGCTTCAGCTGACAAAAATGTAAAATTTTATACAAAAAATGTGGCATTATAGAAATTGCAGTGGATAGTTAACCTCAATTGGAACTATGGCTTGAATATTCAGGCTGTATGCGGGCTTAATTAACTCTACTTTTTGCCTTTGTGTCCTTATCATTAATGATAGAGCAATGTTGTTACATCTGCTGGGCTTGGTGGTGAGGTTTTCATATGGGACATTGAAGGCGCACTTGCCCCAACATCTAAGTCAAGTGATGCAACTGAGGAAGATTATTCAAATGGTGTCAGTGGTTCAGGAAGTTCATTACCCATTACAGGCATCCATAAATCGAGCAACACCATTTCCTTGCACACCCAGTCTCAAGGATATATTCCTGTGTCTGCAAAAGGCCGTAAGGAGTCAGTATATGCATTGGCAATGAATGAGAGCGGATCCCTTCTTGTTTCTGGTGGAACTGAGAAGGTATATTCTGGTAGTTAGGTTAGTTTTTTAATCTTTCAAAATGTACAGTTCCTCAGTTAACAAAGCAGCTGTCTGAATAGCAACTTTCTGAGTTTCTTCAAGGTTGTTCGTGTCTGGGATCCAAGAACCGGTTCGAAGAACATGAAGCTTAAAGGTCATACAGATAATATTAGGGCACTACTTCTTGATTCTACTGGCAGGTATGTTGGAAAAGTTGATGCTATGAAGATACTTTGACTGGTTTTTAGGCTCACAGTGCTACTCTTTTATTTATCTAAAAGCGTTTGGCTTCCAGCTATTATCTGAAGTTGATATATTTTTGTAAGCATGGTAGAAGATGGATTGGATACATAGGTTTAGCCAAATATCACTGTGCATGTTACTTGACACTCAACAATATAAAGTGGAGCAGATGATGTTCATTTCCTCCAACTTATGAGGGTGCCCGATTTATGTGCTTGGGTTGTTTTCCTCGGGTTTGGTTTTGTCAAAGTTGCATGCATACTTTTTCTCTCATGTCCTTCAAATAGGTTAATAACATCAAACAACTTATCTTCTTTTCAACTCCCTTACTAATGGAGTTGCCTCCTTTTTTTTTTCTCCATACAAATGGTTCAGTCAAGTCAGTGTCCAGAAAATAGAATCTCACAGTGATGATTAATATGTGCAATAAAAATTTCCTTGGTCATTTCCTTGTTAAGTTATAAAATTTCACTGTTAGCTGTGATGATGTAAATAACTGAATATAGTTCTCAACAAGAATACCATCTTCGGCTTAGAGGCTACATCTTAATATTGGGATTTATGTGGGAGTTCCATTTCTTCTATTGTGAAGTTTACAATTTCTAATACAAATACAAACTCATATTCGTCAGTGACATGACGGCTGGCCTGTAGGAAAAAAAGGGTGCCCGACAAGATGTGATAGATTTTAGTCTAGAGTAACATACTGATATAGATAACTTTGAAGTGGCTGTTTTTGCAAAGTAGAACCTCAAAAACATCAGGAACATGGTAGAGAAAAAGTTCTGGGAAAGGTAGGGGAAAGTTAAGTATGTCCTCGCAGGAGTTTGATAAACTTGTAACTAATTCAAGTGTATTGGGTAGATGTGAAGTGCTGTACTCATGTTATATAAGACTTTGACCCATGAGAGGCAGCATGCTATATGATGAGAAGGTACTTTACTGTTGCATGTTAAGGACTTGCATGGTTGATTTTAGACTACGTAAGTTGCCGGAGATAAATGGATTTGCAAGGGGGTTATGGAGTCAGCATCTATACTGTTCTCATGGTTGAATGTCAATGAGCAATAAAAACTAGAGTGTTATATATTCAAAAGTTATTCTTCTTTAAATTTTTTTTTGTTCTTTTTTTGAGAAGGTAACATGTATCAGTATATTAATAAATTTCAGCACAAAGCTTGTGCTCGTCTTTAAATTCTTTTTGGAATATGAATATGTTTAGTTTCAAAACATTTTCACATTCCGAGAAGAATTCAAAGAAGAAACGATACTCCTGACAACAATTGTGATATGCTGTAAATAGATTGCATATCAATTAGAATCAGTAGGAATCTGTTAAGGAGATTATTTTTCTTGTACTTTTGAAACATTGGATTTTCTTTCTATTTTAGAGAAGCTTGACACATCCGCTTGTATGCACCACCTTGGAGGGGAGGTTTATAGGAGAATTATAAATATATAGTACTCCTTCTTCCAATTTATGTGAACCTATTTCCTTTTACTCCATTCCAAAAAAAAAAATGAGCTCTTTCTAAATTTGGGAATAATTTAAATCAAACTATCAATGAAAAGCTTTTATAGCCATAGAAACACTCTGATATGTTTAATACCACAACTTTCAAAAGAATTATAGCTACACAAATGTTATAGCTTCTTTAGGACCACAAGTTTTAGAAGTCTTTCATTTCTTTCTTGAACTCCGTGCCCAGCCAAATAGGTTCATATAAATCGGAATGGGGGGAGTTTATATGTTGGAATCAGTTAGAGAAATTATTTTTTCTGTACTTGTGCATCTTTGATATTCCTTCATACTTAAGAATAGGTACATACTACATCACTATTTGAATACTGAATAACTTGAGGGAATAATCAAGCTATGCATTCTCTATATTATTTATTTCTCACAACGTCCATGCTTGGATCTAGAATAGAAACTATTTGTGGAATAATTATATTTAGATTAACAGAGCTAAAAGTAACAGCAAGAGTCACTAATCCAAGTAACTTAACGACACCACATAGAAAACACAAAGGGCACGAAATGACAAAAAAAAAATTCAGTTAAAAAGAAGTAACCATCCCATGTTAGAAAGCTGGTTAAGTTACATGCGCGCCTCTTTGGCCTTTTCGACTGTTCCATTGTTGTTTTCTCTACAATAAACTGTGGCTCAGTGCCTTTCTGCTGCCTTTGTCTTCCAGCTCAAGACCTTGCAGGTAGTAGCCCACAGTTATGCAACTATATATTCTTCTTCCCCTTCATACATTCAAATTTGACGAACAATCAACTAGTTGGGCTATGGATGTATTTTATTCTTCTTTTAGTTGGAAACTTTATATAAGTACTATGTTTCCCTGAGAAAGACAAATTGTTTTTGATGCATGTGCCAAATTATTCTGCTTTGTGCTTTCTCCATAAGTACTATGTTTCCCTGCAGGGGCGGCCCAAGAAGATTGGTGGCCTAAAGCCAATTTTTAATTTGGGGCCTTTCAGAAGGAAAAAAAATTTATCATAACATCGATGATTCATTCCGATGTTCCTACACATAGAACAACATAATTTAGCGCAATTATCGCATAATAACTCACTTAAACCAACAAAATATAGGGCGAGTAATGTGCTAAAAGTATAAAATTTTGACCTAACATCAGTTGTTAATAGTTTCTTTTATAAATAATTTAGTCTCTCCTAAGATATTGTTGATCTTAGATAATAAAACCAAATTCATATAGATACCTCACTAATGATGTCACTCGGAAAATTTAAATAATGAAAAGTTTTATATTTGCGACAAGGGTTTAGGGGGAGTGATTCTCTTTCTGTATTTTTTGCTCAAACGGTTACATCACTACTAAATTAAAAGTTATCTTGAATTTTTATAAAATATTTTATTTTTTATTTTAACATACCCAATATATTTAGACTCTGCCTCTAAAGATTGTTGTGAGATGTATTTGATCCAACTTACCTTAATTAAATATATTGGGTTCGAGTCCTGTGGTTAAAAAAAATCCTGTTAAAACGTGTTATCTCTTTTACTAGGTATTACGCGGTACAAATCTAGATTAGTCGGGGTCTCAATACAAATACGAGTAGAAAAACAAAAGAAAAATTTGGGGCCCTCAAAATTTGGGGCCTAAAGCCTTTGCTTTAGTGGCTTTACCGTTGGGCCGCCCCTGTTTCCCTGAGAAAGACAAATTGTTTTTGATGCATGTGCCAAATTATTCTGCTTTCTCCAGCAAAAGTAGAAACACAGGTTTTATTTCTTCTTCCTTTACTTTGTCTTTCGCTAAAGAGAAATTTATTTTCGGTTTTCACCCAAGTCCTTAGAAAGTAATATATTTATTTTGTCTTGTATGGGTTGTTAGCTGTTTCTTCTTGGTTTTGAGTTCACACACTTGTTGACTGTTCACTTGTTGCATATGAAGATTGAGTGGTAATGCTTGCTGTATTTTGTAAACATGATGTGTTGGGTTCTTTAATATGATGGCCTTATCCTCTATTTTTGTAGGTTCTGCTTATCTGGGTCTTCTGATTCCATGATTAGGTAAGGAGTGACTATGTTACATCATCCAAAGGGATGGGGATGGGAAGCTGAATCTTTAAATTCTGCCAAGTTGATGTGAAACATGCAGTAAATAATGCCTGGCTTCACTATACTCATCAAATTTATCATAACAAGTCACTCATGGTGTTGCAATGTGAGTATTTAAGAAGAAACTAAAGCTAAGAATAAACTAAGCTAAGGAAAGTAAAATAACAGATTTCATTCATGCCTTCAAAATGAGCTACTGCTCAGTACATATAACTCAAGACATGAGCAAAAGACCTAGGACTTAAAAGAAATAAATAAAACATACAAGGGTTAATTAAATAATAACGTATACTAGCTAAATGGACTTAAATGCAAGAAGCAAAACTTGTTAACTAATCAGCCAACCCCTCTCACTAACTTCACTGTGCAACCTTGCAAGCCCATTGTACAACCTCCACCTATAGCGCCGACCTCTTCCATTTTATATCGTATCAGTTCTCCCCCCTTAAGAACTTCCTTGTCCTCAAGAAAGGGGAGATGGAAGGACACACTCTCAGAGTGTTTGCATCTTCCCAGATCAATGACTGCCAGCCCTGTACAAGCATTAGGCACTTCTGAAACCATGAAATCAGTTGGTTTGATCTTTTTCTTCGGAACCTTAACAAACATCCAGTGATCTTTGTAACTAAGTAGGACCGACAACTGGAGACAAAGAATTCTTAGCTTGATAGTCCTGTTTTCCTCTTGACTTGGAACTAATTTTAACAGTGAGAGGAATAGCTTGTTTAAGTCCCACATATTGCTCCCATTCTCTGCCAGCTTCTGCTATAAGCAATTCAGTAGCAACAAGGCCAAGCTTAAAGAGAACTCTTGCCTTCAAAGCACCAATCAATACACACAAACAAACTACTTTGTCAACAATCACCAATATATGCACAAGACTAAGTGTATAAAAATGTCCATCTTTCTGATCACAAAATTTTTTAATGTTCACTCCACCTTTAGTATTGTTACAAAAGAACATTCCAAGTAGATCAATCTGCTGCTCAGACTTCTTTCTGTCGATTCCATGAGCTAACATTTGAACTTCTATTACAAAGAGTTGGTAAATTGCAACAACAAGAATGTTGGAGCGTGCTTGTTCTCTAAATCTGCTCAAGAAGCTTTTCAGGAAGATTTTCTCACCAACTGGTTTCGTATCGTTGAGTAAACAAATTCATCCATAACAGTAGTTCTACCATATTTGATGTCATTCTCAATACCCGAAACACATTCTTGGGCAAAGCATGAGCACAAAGTAACCACACCATTAGCCATAAGCTCCCGTAATACACCCAACTTCAAATTGTCCTCCCTTTCGATGTACTTCACTAAGGACTTTCTTTCTTTCTTCAGGTGAACTTGAATCAAGAATCTTAACAACAACAATGCTGGCACACTTGAAACAAAAGACATGGTCAAATGATAAAGCGGTTTAGGCTGAAGAAATATAAGCAGATCATTCTTTGCGACTCGAAAAATAGCAGTTTCTCTGGCTATTATAAGACAGAGTGGAATACCAAAATTACTAGCCTTGACACTAGTAAAGCCATGATTGAGACATGCATTATAGATCTTCAAAGAAGTGACAACCAACTCACAATAATTCTGTGTTAACTTAGCACCCGAGATGCCCAATATAACAACAATATCACCTGGTAGTAGAGTATTCTTCTTTTCCACTATCATGAGAGCAATTCTAAGGAAATTCTTCATTATATTAGGAAACTGAATTTCCAACTTGAGCTCATTATCGGACCACCCAAACCCAAATACTGGCTCAACTATATGGGAAGCCTTATTATTTGCACGGACACAACTAGTAATGATATCATTGTGACCACTGATATATTTGGCTGCAGAATGCAAAGCAATATTGGTCTTTGTTCCACTCTTCAAGAACCTTGTCCTCAAGGTTCTTGAACTTGAAACTGCTCCAGCAAGACTTCCATACAAGCAGAGAGAATTTAGGATTGAAAGGAGCTCAAACCAGGAAATGAAAAGGAAAATAAAAGATAAAATAACTTATTGATTTCAATTGATAATACTGTCACTGCATCTATACTGCTGTAATTGGGCTCCTAAATTCACATCAATCATTATCATACCTCCTTTGACCAAATACATCATATTTCTTGCTCTGACAAAATCGAATGAAAGATTTGAGCACCACAGTTACTGCAGCAGCTGGGAAAAGGGTCCTCCAAGGTACACCCCTTTGCCACCAAGAGATTACTTCAAAGATCTTCGGAGGGTTCATGACAAAAGAATGCCCAACAGCTTCACACATACAATCTGTAGCATCCGCCTTCACCCATATAGGTGAGCAGGCATCTACTATAAGAGAATTCACCTTCCAGGTAGAACTTAGAACCTCCGATGGCCAGAACATTAATTCTGCCACATTTTCCTCATACATACTTGTTGTAGCAAGATCTGATCTAAGGACAAGGAAGTCATGAGATTGTAATCCACCATCAAGGATTCCCTCTATTGTTCAACAATCTTTTTCTTGAAGTTTAGATTACAAATTTTGTCCTTTCCATGGAATTCAGATGCAGCAATATTCATGTCAATGATAGCTGTTTTGCGCGAATTAGGACCCTCCTGGTTCTCTTGAGTATTGGGAATAAAACCACCAAGTGTTCCCACGCCAAGCAATAATGGTGTCACATCCAAAAGAACAATATCACTAACATCTCTAACAATTACACCAGACACCAGTTGCTGCTGCAGCTCCAAGAACAACAGTTTCATCAGGTGCGATTCGTGTGCCACAATCACAATAAACATTATGCAAAGCATCAATGAACAAATAAGGTAGCGGTGATTGAACTATAAAAGATGGAGTTAATATAAGCTCGTGGCTGAAGACTTCCAGTTCAGAAGCCAAACAAACACCATCATAACTCCAACTAACCTTATCCCAGTAACAAAAGGCATGTAGAAGTTCCCTTTGACCATAAATGGAATAAATCCTAGCACCAGGTTCACTACAGAACCTTACAATACCATATGGTGCAGCAGCTTCAGCAAGAACTTGCTGTAGTAAGGCATTCTCATCTTCCGTTAGATCAGTTTTCTTGTTTCATGTTCAACATTTGTATGATTCACATTTTTAATCACTGCTATATCCTCAGAGTTACTGCTTTTCCCCCATTTTCTTGCTTTAGTCCTTTCTCCTCCACTGAAAGTGGAAGTGACATAGCAAGTTCAAGATCCTCTGTATTTTCACCAAATTCAACATCAAATACTCCACCTGTAGCAGTCTCTGCAGCTGCAGGAGCATGAATTATGTGATTGCTATCATTGTTGTTCACCACAGCAACTAGTGCCTCAGGCTTCTCAACGGTCAAGGGACAGTTTCTTTGTTCAGTCTCCTTCGTCTTGATCTTCTCGTCGACAAGACAGGTGTGGTTATCCAAGTTCCTCTTAGTTTCCCATGAATCTTTAAATTCCCTCGGTTGGGAAGAAAATCGCCGCGCTTGTCTATCTTGCCTCGAGCTTAGGCTAGTCATTTGCAATGCAAGCTTCACCATTTCTTTAATCTCGTTCACTTCTGAAACCCTTTCAGGAGAAACTAATTCGTCAACAGGCTCCCCTATTTCATTAACTCGCATTTCATTAAACATGCTGTGATCGTATTCAGGGACACTTATTTTGCGATACATTGCTGGGGTTGATTCCAGCTCCTCAGTTATGCACTCCTTCTCTTTGTCAATTAGCTCATATTGTCCAGTTCCCATCTCAGCATCGTCATTAGAAGTTTCTTCCTCAACACTCAATGTTTCATTTTCCTGTCGATCTTCAGATATAGGTATTAATTTGTCTGAAAGTATCAGTACCTTATCTGTTGGCATTTCATCAAACATCTGGCGCTCATGAGAGGAATGTTGTTCCTCTTTTGCCAACATCTTTCCTCGGCGAAACTTCTGTAATCGCAACATCAATGAAATTGTTTAGTCTTTCATCTGCGTGAATGGAAGTGCTGCTGTTGCAATCCTTCAAAATCCCATCATCAATCAAAATTTCGAATGGAAGAAGGCTCTCAACGACGGTATCAAAACAAAAGTGTTGCTGCTGAAACGGCAAAAGGGGAAGGGAATATTCAGATCCGCGATTAGAATTTCCTCTATCAGCAGCAGTTGGAATCGCCTCGTTAGTCAGAAAATTGACTGGAATAGAGTCGTGGATGACCCTGTTAGCACAAGGCTGCTGCTTTTGAAATGACAAATATGGAGGATTATACTCCGAACAATGATCAGTACTCACCATTTCCATGCTAGGGAGGAAACCCATGTTACTAGATTGAAATCCACTGCAACACCTCTATCTGGAACCTCCCCGGATCGAATAATTCGAAAAGGCCGTGGTAAACTCTGATGGCTGGTAGGTATAAGGGACAGATGGGAAACTCCCAGCTTGCCAAGGTTGATGTGGACTGAAATTAGAGGTGTATAAAGGGTTTGTTGGGCTGAATTTCCGCTGATACCCAATATGGTAAGCTCCATATCCGTTAATTATAATAACCGGGAGAATTAGGACCTTGGTAGGGTGCATAATTGAAATCTTGTGGAAGATTTGTAGGTCCGAAACCTGGTACAGTAGCTGGAGCGTTCACTATAGCATTCAGCCATGGATGTGTAGCTCGTGCGTCATTGTAATAGCTGTATGGTGGGAGAAATCGATCAATCTCCATTGCCATAAAGGTCAGGAAATCGATGCTCCGATACCACTGTTGCATTGTGAGAATTTAAGAAGAAACTAAAGCTAAGAATAAACTAAGCTAAGGAAAGTAAAATAACAGATTTCGTTCATGCCTTCAAAATGAGCTACTGCTCAGTACATATAGCTCAAGACATGAGCAAAAGACCTATGGACTTAAAAGAAATAAGTAAAACATACAACGGGGTAATTAAATAATAAAGTAAACTAGCTAAATGGACTTAAATGCAAGAAGCAAAACTTGTTAACCAATCAGCTGACCCCTCTCACTAACTTCACTGTGTAACCTTGCAAGCCCATTGTACAAGCTCCACCTATAGCGCCGACCTCTTCCATTTTATATCGTATCACATGGCTGTCCAAATCTTGCATTTGTTATCTACAGATTTTGTTTTATGTTAGAATTGACTTTTACTTTGAGTCGAATTGTTAGATTGTGGGATCTGGGTCAGCAGCGGTGTGTCCATTCCTATGCTGTGCATACTGATTCTGTATGGGCACTTGCTAGTACTCCAACATTTAGTCATGTTTATAGTGGTGGAAGAGATCTCTCTCTAAGTGGACTCCTAAAACTTATCCAGCATGTTTTCTCTTGCCAATTTCTTTTCCCAACTTCTTAGACTTCTATGCTTACAAAATCATTCTTTTTGCAAAAAATTTGTTTGAACTTGCAGTTGTACCTAACAGATTTGGCAACAAGGGAAAGTATCTTGCTTTATACAAAGGAACACCCTATTTTGCAGTTAGCATTACACGGTGACAGCATGTGGGTGGCCACAACTGATTCTTCGGTACATAAGTGGCCAGCAGAAGGGCGTAATCCCCAGAAGGTTTTCGAAAGAGGGGGTTCGTTCTTGGCTGGAAACTTGTCTTTTTCCAGGGCAAGGGTTTCATTAGAGGGATCTACGCCTGTGAGCTAACTTCAACATCCCTTTATATGTTTTCTTGAGGTTACAGCTTAAATTCCTGAATATATATGCAATTTCAATTGTGGGGGTTCAAAATATCTTCTGTTTTTCTATATGCCTATTATGGCGAATTGAATTTCTGAAAATTGGCTTCTGTTAAATGAGTAGGACATAAATTTTTGTTGATCTTTTTGTTCTTGTGGAAGTTGCCAAGACTCGAGGACTGGTTACGATTAAATTGAAGTAAAATTACCCATAGGCATCATCTAAACTGAGAATGTGTGATTGTCAAGGATCTCTAGAAGATTCTCAAATCTGAAAAGATGATGTGATTGTACATGATAAAAGGAAAAGATAACAAGGAAAAGGATGGGGCTAAAGCTATGGGATTCAGTTGTTGGGTTGTCTTCACAAGTTATTTCTCATTTTGCACTAATTTCCAACAATAGCAGTCCCAGTCCTAGTACCAATACATGCACGATTAAGTTAAATCCACTATTAGTTTTCTTTGTGTTAGTAAACAATTTTATTATTTTACTTCTAAGAAATATGGATATAATGTAACTGGTTCGAGGAGGAGCTGAGATGATGAAATTTGTGAAATATCTAGTTATTAGCCACTTTTTATTAGAATTTGATGCATGGTGTAGAATTTTGATGTGTGAGTCCTGTGCAAGGAACTATTATAGGTGTTTTTGAAGTTCTTTGACTTTATTACTGATTTGTATTGAGGTGCTACAAGTTTGTCGAGTTGTATGCTTGGCGTCCATGGTAAGCTAGTTGTTTGTTAGTTGGTTGTTATATAAATAAGCATAGTCCTACATGGAATAGGACTATAGGAGTAGTGTAGGTATTGTGTATTGTTATAAATAAGGGTACTTGTATTATACTTGATACACATCAATAATATAATTTTCCGAGTTATTAATTCTCACATGGTATCAGAGCATCGGTGAGAAACTCCGGAAAGGCCGGATAGTCGTTGTGCATCAATTTCCGGTGACTCTTTCCTGATCTGATTGCGTCACCTCTCTCTTGGTGAGTGTTGTGCTAAAACCAACACTACTAACATAATCGGAAAGCTCCGGTGACCAAACCCCAAGAAACCAGTCCGGCAGAAACCCTACCACGCGTCGTCACGCACGGCTTAAAGCTCTGACACCGGCGACGCGTCAGTCACACGCGCCGGCCCGTGGACACTGTTCCGGTCAGTTTTTGACGAAAGTTCTTTTGGACAGTCTGTTCGCCCTTCAATTCCGAGCCTACCCATTATATTTTCTTTTTATTCCTATCACTTTCAATTTTTTTCCGGCAACTACAGTGATTTTTCCGGCAAAAATAGTGATTTTCTGGCAAATACAGTGATTTCTTCCTTCCCTGTTTCAGGAAGATACAGTTGATTATTTTTATTATTTGTTTCTAGACCTCTCTCCAATCCAATAATGTCTTTGGGAATTGATGTATTTGGTTCTAAGAGCACGGGTTCTTGAAAATCAAGCTTCATGATTACTTCGGAGCCCTTAATGGGAAGTTCAAACTATTTAGCTTGGGCTTCCTCTGTCGCGTTGTGGTGCAAGGGTCAATGTGTTCAAGACCACTTAACCAAAAAGGCTAGTGAGTGAGATGAAAAAGCACAGTGGGAAAAGATCGATGCTCAGTTATGTAGTATCCTGTGACTAGACCCGATATTTCCTTTCCTGTGAGTGTTGTAAGTTAGTTTATGGATTCTCCTTGTGATAGTCATTGAGATGCAGTTGTTCGCATTCTTCGATATATAAAATAGGCTCCAGGAAAAGGGTTATTATTTGAGGATCGAGACCATGAGCAGATCGTTGGATACTCAGATGCTGATTGGGTAGGATCACCTTCTGATAGACGTTCTACGTCTGTATATTGTGTTTTGGTAGAAGGCAATTTGGTGTCTTGGAAGAGCAAGAAACATAATGTAGTTGCTGGGTCTAGTGCACAAGCAGAATATCGAGCAATGGCTATGCAACATGTGAGCTAGTTTGTATCAAACAATTGCTCAAGGAATTGAAATCTGGTGAAATCAGCCAGATGGAACTTATGTGCGATAATTAAGCTGCCCTTCATATTGCACCAAATCCGGTGTTCCATGAGAGAACTAAACACATTGAGATTGACTGTCACTTCGTCAGAGAAAAGATACTCTCAGGAGATATTGCTACAAAGTTTGTGAAGTCGAATTATCAACTTTCAGATATTTTCACCAAGTTCCTCACTGGTCCTCACATTAGTTATATATGTAACAAGCTCGGTACATATGATTTGTATGCACCGGCTTGAGGGGGAATGTTAGTTAGTTAGATGTTATGTAAATAAGCATAGTCCTACATGGAATAAGAATAGTGTAGGTATTGTGTATTGTTATAAATAGGGGTACTTGTATTATAGTTAATACACATCAATAATATAATTTTCCGAGCTATTAATTCTCACACTAGTAAAGTAGACTTGCTCTAATCTTGTACATTTTTTTTTTGAGAAGGACTCTAATCTTGTACATTGGTGTAGGTGGAAGAGCTACTAGGAAAGAATATACAATGAGTCAATGAATTAATATATTTATCCTTTTTACTCTATTCAAAATTTGGGTAGTTTTGTGGCCATTTTCCATTTTTGCGTCCAGTGTTATTTCTTTGTATTAGATTATTATTATCGATAGATAAATGGTGCGTCATACATGTAATTGCTCCTTGCTTATGCAGATCAGAAGTTGTAGTCAGATTATAACCTAAGTTGACTATTCTTTTTAGAACGTGTTCTCCTCCATCCTTATAATCCCTTCTTCCTTTTCAAATATAATACATTAATCATAAGAAAATTTAAGAGTTGGACAATTGTGCAGGTACCTGTCTATGAAGAACCTTCATTTAGCATTTCTGGAACCCCAGGAATAGTGCAGTATGAGATTTTAAATAACAGAAGGCATGTCCTGACCAAGGTAAAATGATCTTTTGCATTTATATTTTGGTTGCTAATGACTTACTATTCTTAATGAGGTTAAATTTTATATTTAGAAGAGTATGATTTGTAACCTGATGCTGGATTATGCCTTTGAAAGGATACTGCTGGTACAGTTAAGTTGTGGGAGATCACAAGAGGGGCTGTAATTCAAAACTACAGAGAGGTTAGAATGAAATGATTTGAGATCTATTAAGCAACAATGGCATGTTTGGAGGACACTTTCTTATTTTCTCAAAATGATGACGATTGTCCCCTTCTGCTTTTAATTCATTATGGCCTACTTTACAATGCAGTGTTGTTACCATGTTTTTCTTTTCCGATTATTTTTGGTGTAGGTTTCATTTGACAAGAAAAAGGAAGAATTATTTGAGATGGTAGGAACTACATTGTCATTGTTGCAATGCTACTACTTTTCTATGAATCTTTCTGATACATTTTGCTTCTTCAGGTAAGCATCCCTGCATGGTTCACCATGGACACTAGGCTGGGAAGCCTGGCTGTACATTTGGATACTCCACAATGCTTTTCTGCTGAGATGTACTCTGCTGACCTTAACATCCCCGGGAAACCTGAAGATGACAAGGTATTTCCTGATATGAAGCTTTTGTTTTCAGTTTATCATAGAGGTTCCAGTTCCTGTATCCGCTTTCATTTATTCACCTTGCTCCGTTCTATTACATGATCTAGGCTACTCTAGCTTCTTATTTTTTTCTCCCTGTAAGTTTGTTTGTTAAGAGGAAATGTGAAAGATGAAAGTCCAATGGAGATAGATACAACATTTCCCTCCTTTTGAGCAATTAGTCTGCATCAAATTGAGTTATTAAAATAATCAGAGATAATTAGTTGGGTAACATATCTGTATAGATGAATGGGACAGTTTGTTAAAAATTGGGGAGGGAGCCACTCATACGCTTTCTAAGTATTTGTTGATACAATCTACGTGTGACATCAATGAAATGACTTTGATTTATCAAAAAACAAAAATTGGCTAATACGTTTTTGTCTTTAGGTTTGTTATGTCATTTGGTTGTCAAGTCTAAATCACTTGAAACATTTTGATAGGTAAAAGCTATGCCATAGTACTTATGGGCTGCAGTTATCTCAGAATGACCTGAAATTTTGCTGTTATTCTGTTTCATGCTGAAGTTTATACTTTTGATTTCAGGTTGTTGATATTTTCCTTATTTGCTTCTTTGCCTTGTGGATTTCTAAGTAGTTTTGACTTTTCGAGTACTACCAAATGCCTGCGCTTTTGCATGTTGTATTACATGTGGAACGGATAAATGTTTGAACCAATGTTGTGATTTATCAGTCAGTTATATTAATGAAGTTTGATTCACTTACGCAAAAGATGAACAGTTTTTGGTCCTGGCCTATTCTAAAAATAGGTTAATTTGGCACGAGAAACACTTAAAGGGCTGTTGGTGCATGGGTTAATCAAAAGAAGGCAGAAATTTGGATCTCAACCGTCAAGCAATGGAGAAGTCCCATCTGGAAAAGATGTATCTGTAAGGATTTTGGCTGCATCTAGAGTGGAAGTAGACAGTGGTGCTGATAACGATTCTGCTGTATTTCCCCCCTTTGAATTTTCAGCAGTATCTCCTTCATCTATCGTGACTGAGGGCTCTCAAAGTGGTCCTTGGAGGAAAAAGATCACAGACTTAGATGGAACTGAAGACGAGAAGGACATGCCTTGGTGGGTTATAGACTGTGTGATGAACAATCGGCTGCCTCCCAGAGAAAATACCAAGTAAATCTCCAAAATTATTTATTTCTTGACAATCCTTGAATTGCATTTAAATTATAGAGTATGTGTTAACTAAAAGTCTTTCAGGAGGCCCTTAAGTCTCAATTTTTGAAGGAGCAATGTGCTTCTAATTTCCATTATTTCTTCCAGTTGCTTGCACCATGTATGTTTAAAGCAAAGGTATTTATCTTTCTGGCTGTGATAAAATACTTTCGTTGTAACCCCTTTTCTATAAAATGGTTTGCAGACGTAGCTTTTATTTGCATCCATGTGAAGGTTCTACATTCCAGATCCTTACCCAAGGCAAGCTGAGTGCACCTAGCATATTAAGAATTCACAAAGTAAGCTTCTTTGAGTTCAAATCTCAATGCAGAATCAATATATTGTTGTGATGATAAAGGTGTTCCTTGTTGGCTACTAATTACACTTCATCGTATTATCCATATTACTGGGAGATTTACACTTTCCCTTTTCCTGGACACCTTCTACTGAAACACCACCTATAATTTTCAAAAGCAACTCGAATATACAGAAGTATATCTTAAGGAAATCAGTATAAAATATGCTCTGCAGCTCTGCGTTATCCAAATTGATTTTTTTATTTGGTACAAGACCTGTACCATGGTTACCCTTTTGTGATGTAGACAGCATATTGCTCTAGTTTTATGTCAAGTAAAACTCCAGTATTCTCTTTAGTCTATGTGAAGGAGTGTTCTTGTGGTACCTTAAGTTGTTACAGCTCAAATCTGGTTAATATTAGGCAGTCGTCAAGTAATATCAGATACTTCTGCAACATGGTTGATATCTCCGATCTGGGAGAGGGGTGTCATCAAATGGATAAGTGAGGGTGATTTTTGATTTCTACATGGATACTTTTTTGAGAATGGTAACAGTTTTTCTACTTGGATATTTACGTTTGCTATAATATCTGGACTCGTGTAAATTTTCATTGCTCTGCCCTATGCATAAAGCATCCATGACTTCAAAAGGATAGCTAGATCATAGATGATTATAAAATATATATTACTTTGTCAGTTTACCCCTTCCTTGACCCTTTTTTATGGAGTAGGATATTTTATTCATAGTTACATCAAAAGGCACCAAACTGCTATGAAGCTTTACAAGATTACATCTGTGGAGCGCTCTAAAAATCGATATAATTATTCATCTAGTTCATATGTATTCAGATTATATATCAATTATGTCTCAATTCCAAGCTAATCGGAGTATGGTATATGAATCCTTTGTATCTATTATGCTCTATTGAGACCCTTTTCATTCCAGTACTTGATAATTTGTCTTTTAAGATATTAGGAGTCCTCTAAAACTAGAGGTACCCGATATCATACACTTATACCTAGATGAACATGCAAGTCTTTAAGCAAATTTAAAAGACTCTTGGGAAAAACCAGTATAAGTGAAAAAGCAACTAAGTTTTAATTCCTGTTAGTTGGTATTGTCTATATGAATTCTTTGCTTCTGTTGTGTGCTAAGTTCGCATTTCTTCCAATAGATATAAGATCTTTTGCGACAACTTGTCTCCAACTGATTATAGGTGTACCTCATCCTATTTATCACCTTCAATTATTGTAATCTCTCACCAACAGAGTTGTGCAAATGGTGGTCTATGTAGGACATGATTAAGCCATCTTAGACTACCTCTCATTTTTCCTCGATGAGATACCAATTATCAAATACGATCATTTCTAATCTTATATGACCCAAAATTGTTCTTGACTTCATTTGTGTGATTTTTCTTGTGGATCTGTTGCATCTTTGAGGTCCACCATTTACATATGACGTTGCTGATTCCACTACTGTTATATAGAACTTGTCTTTCACTTTTTTAGGTATCTTCCTATTGCACTATACTTATCTATTTTAGCCATCTTATTTTAAGGCTCTGTTTTACATCTTCCTCTATCATGTTATTCTCCTGCCAAATTGAGCCTATTATATCTGAGTTTACATTTAGACTCCATGGTTCCATCTAATCTTACTTAACCTTCATTCTACTTATGAGTGCTAAATGCAGTGTATATATTTCATTTGACTTCTATTCATTCTAAAACATTTATACTCTAGAATTTTCTCCATATTTCAACTTTAGGTTGAGTCCCTCATTAGTTTCATCAATTACTTAAAAGTCATCTGCAAGTACGATGCACCATGAAATCTCATTCTATTCACTATTCTGTAGCTCATCCATGAGTTGGGTAAGTACGAGCTCATGGAAAATCCTTAGTGTAAACTCACGGTGTGCCTTTATGGTAATAAATAAAAGAGTTGATAATTTTCAAGTTAGGTGCATTACCAATTCAAAATTGAAAAGTGATGGAATATGACCACCCATTTTTTGACATAATACCTCCAACACACAAAATGCTTGCACAGTCAGTGAGTGTGAGAAGTGCAATTTATCCTTACATAGTACCAATTGATCATTCATGAAATAAGGTATGATTCATTGGTTCAGCTTCTCTTTGATCCTATAATCATCCAGAAATAATTATGTCTATATACAATTGATTCATGGTAATTAATCTATACCTACAGAGAATACACATTGAATATCTCAAAGTCTACTGATTTTCTTCTACAGGTTATCAATTATGTCATAGAAAAGATGGTTCTTGACAAGCCTTTGGATAGTATTAACTCGGATGGGAGTTTTACTTCTGGAATGCATGGAGTTACTGGAGGAGATGGCTCATTCCGGACTGGGCCGAAACCTTGGCAAAAGCTTAAGCCATCTATAGAGATTCTGTGCAATAACCAGGCAAGTTCTGGTTTCCGTTACTGGTTTCCAGATGCTTCACATATTAAGGTGTAAATATCAAGTACTGTTTGTAGTTTCCACTTCATCTTTATACTTCAAAATGAGAGGTTCTTAAACTTAAATTTTAGCAATGTGATTCTGTCACATCAATACCTATTCCCACAAGAAGAAACATTTGACTTTGTTGCATCAATCTTTGTATATGTTGCCTTCAACCATAATTGTCCAATTGGGTTCCAGGTTCTGCTCACACTGCATTCTGGTTATATGAATTTTGTTGTCCTTTACCAGGTTTTATCTCCTGATATGAGCTTAGCAACTGTCCGGGCCTATACATGGAAGAAACCGGAAGATCTTGTACTTAATTACCGTGTGTTGCAGAGCAAGTGACAGGATGGGAAGCTGTAAGGTATGCTTTGTTATTTGTCTCTGTTATTTGTTATTTGTTATTTCGTCCCTTTTGAGCTAGTCCTTGTCTTGTGAGAAAATAAGAGACACTGGAGGGAATATTGGGAGAGTGATAACGATTAATGTCTTACACCCATATCCTTTTACATGCACACTTTACATGTACGTGACTATAACTACTCAATGTGAAACATTAGTACTATATTACATCAAGTATAACTTTTTGTAATTAACCATAGTCAACTTTCTAATACTTCACCTCAAGCTGGTAAGGTTGTTGTATATGCAACTAATTCTGGAGCCTGTGAGTGATTTGCTAAATCTATTTGCTAGCAAATTATTTGAATTTACGCACTTTGTGACAATGTTTGCTAAAAATATACTTCCTCTATCAAAGTTACAATCAATTTTTATATGCTTGTTTCTCTGATACAACAATATATTTGATGCAATATGGAGTGCAACTTGATTATCAATACAAGTTTTAAATGCGTTTGATTAATCTCTCCCATCATTAATTATTTGAGTGGTTGCTTGATCCTTATGAGTTGGCAAGTTTCTATTGTCGTGGCTGGATATTCAGCTTTTGCACTTGAGCTTATAACCACATGCCATTTCTTGTTTTTCCTAGATACCGATTACCTCCAACTAACCCAATCTGCATTAGTATGTCCAAGTATCTTCTTCGTGTTCTCGGTCCTCGTAAAACAACCTTTTCTTAAAGCAGATTTTGAATATTGAAGGATTTGAACCGATATGTCCAATGACTACTATGTTAAGTAGTTAGTCATGTATAGTGTCCCACATCGGGAAGTAGATACCTATTATTATGTAATCACTGTATATAAATAGGCATTGTACAACACTTTAATTAATTAATAAGGTTTTTCTCCCGTGCATTCTCACATGGTATCAGAGCAACCGTGAGAAATTTATTGCCGTGCATAAATTCCAATTTCCAGCGACTCCGGGAAGAGAAAACAGTCAACCGGAAGCCCTTTTTCCAGCAAAAACCATGTCTGTCCGCAAGAACCATACCATCCGTTAGTGTTGTGCAAAAACCAACACCACCAGGAAGTAGATCAGAGCTCGGCGACCAACCTTCAAAAAAATCTTCGGTAGAAAAGGACCCATGCGCCCTCACACGCCGCCGGAAGAAGTTTTTCAGCGAAGCTCCGACGTTCACGCGCCATCGTGTGAGACTGTTTCCGGTCAGATTTTGGGAAAATTTCTTCAGAACAGTCTCTTCTCCTCGCAAATCCGAGCCTACCCATCCAATTAAAATCAAATTCCGACCACTTTTATATTTTTCTGGCGTTAACAGTGAGTTTTCCGGCGAGAACAGTAATTCCCAGAAAATTTCTGCTTTTTCCGGCGCAATATTATAATGGCATTCGTATCAGAAGCCTTTAACTCACAATCCGTTGGATCCAATGCATTGAATCCAATCTAGATGGTTTATTTACCGGATTATATGGAGTTCCTTTAGTACAAAGCATGTAAACAAACATCTTCAAGGATAGCTTCCGTTGTTCAAACAGATAGTAGCGTGACTTGTGTCTCCCAATCTTAAACCTTTGAGTCTTGGGTCATTGATTGAGGTGCATCTGCTCATATTTCTGGTAACAAATCTCTTTTCACTACTATTTCATGTTCTCAATCTCTCCCAACAGTCACAATGGCCAACGGGTCTCAAACCATGGCAATTGGAATAAGTCAAGCAAGTCCACTTCCTTCCTTACCTTTAGATTCAGTACTTTATGTTCTCGGTAGTCCTTTTAATCTCATAGCCGTTAGTTGCTTAGCCAAATCACTTAAATGCTCTGTTTTATTTCTTGATGACCTTGTTTTTATACAGGAACGCAGTACAGGGTGGATCATTGATACCGGGCGTGAATCATATAGACTTTATTACCTTATCCTTGCAAAATCACATGGACTCACATCTTGTCTTCCTTCAACAACTTGTCCTGTTACTGATTCACCAGATTTATTACATAAACGGTTGGGATATCCTAGTTTGTCAAAACTTCAGAAAATGGTACCTGGTTTATCTCACTTGTCTACTCTAGAGTGTGAGTCATGTCAGCTCGGTAAGCATACCCGCTCCCATTTCCCTTGGCGTCTTGATAATCGAGCAGAGTCACCTTTTACATTAGTCCATTTAGATTTTTGGGGTCCTAGTCGGGTCAGTTCTACCTTGAGATTCCGCTACTTTGTCAGTTTCATTGATGATTATTCCAGGTGCACTTGGATATTTTTGATGAAAAACCGATCCGAGTTGTTTTCTATTTTCCAGACCTTCCACACTGAAATTCAAAATCAATTTGGGGTTTCTATCCGCACATTTCGTAGTGATAATGCCCTAGAGTATGTCTTTCCCATTTCAGCAGTTTATGAACTCTCATGGGATTATTCATCAAATATCTTGTCCGTACACATCTCAACAAAATAGGGTAGCTGAAGGAAAGAATAGACATCTTATTGAAATTGCTCGTACCCTGCTCATACAATATCATGTTCCGTTGCGTTTTTGGGGGGATGCAGTTCTTACATCTTGCTATCTTATTAATCGTATACCATCTTCAGCTATCCAGAATCAAGTTCCATTCTCTGTCCTGTTTCTCCACTTACCTTTTTTCTCTCTTCCACCCTTTGTCTTTGAAAGCACGTGTTTTGTTCATAACCTTACTCCAGGAAAAGATAAGTTAGCTTCTTGTGCTCTTAAGTGCGTATTTCTGGGTTACTCGAGAACGCAAAAGGGGTATCGATGCTATTCTCCTGACCACCAGCGGTACCTTATGTCCGCTGATGTTACCTTCTTTGAAACCCAATCATACTTCACAGGTCAAAGTAATCACTTATGTTAGTTTACAGATATGTATAGTATAGTCTTGTCCCACATTGGAAGAGGAGTAATATCTCCTTGTAGTGTATAGCTATAAATATGGACCTCTTGTATTGTATTTATCATCCAATATCAATAACATATTTTCTCCCGTGCCTTCTCACATGGTATCAGAGCATTAGTGAGAAAAGATCGTTGTGAGTCATTCCAGCGTTAACGGGGAAGAAAGAACTTAGTCATCGTGCAATTTTTCCGGTGACCTAAGGCTTGTCTAAGTGAAAGTCACTTTCTGTCGGTGTTGTGCTAAAACCAACACCACCACGAGGTAGATCACCCTCCGACGACCAACCCCTGAAAATTTATCCGGCAGAAAAGCCGCCACGCTCCTCCACGCGCCGGCAACAACTTTTCCGGCGAGGGTTCTGGCCACTTTTCGGCCATTTTTTCGCGAAGCTTCTTCAGGACAGTCTGCTCTCCTCAAAATTCCGAGCCTACCCATCTAATTCAAATCAAATTCCGACCATTTTATATTTTCTGGCGTGAACAATGACCTTTCCGACCATTTTTTGAAAACATTTCTTCAGGACAGCTTGCTCGCAAGGGAATTCCGAGTCTATCAATCCTGGTTACGACAAATTCCGACAACTTTGAAATTTTCCGGCGAGCTACAGTGTTTCCAGCATGAACAGTGTTTCCGGCGCAGAACAATGTTCTATTTTCCTGCTGTAAACAGTGTTTTTCAAGCTATTTCTTCAGTTTTCTCACAGGAGTTACTT